TAACGGAGTGGTATGTAATATGTACTGCACAACTGTTTTTTCGATCTTAGGATTTTCTACAAAAATTTGCAATAATAAGGTATTTTTTGTGTGCTTTATTCCAACTATAATAATTGGAGTAGCCGATGCTGGCCAGCGCCTGACTCAATAGGCTAATAGAATTCAAAAAGTGGCTGGACGAAATTTCTTACAGGTGACAACATATATTTTCGAGTGTTTATTTAGATAATAAACGTCCCTATACAATACCTCCAATTTTAAAAAGTCGGATCTCTTTTTTTTCTAACGTTTTTATACAAACAAGACCAGAAGTATTAAAATCAGTCAGTATTTGTTGTTAATAATAAAAATACAGTGACGAAAAAGTCAAAAATTTGATTATTTTTCAATTGTATAAACAATTGTCCTACGGTCTCGAAACATAGTGTGGATATGTATTTTTTTGTCATATAACCTCAGTAGTTTAAAAAAAAAAATTCCAAGTTCTTGAAAAACATGCATTTGTTTATAAAAAAGGCCTCAAATGTTTGAATTAATCTGACCCAGTTCTGGCTGTCAAAAGCGAATTTTTTACAGCCCTTTTTTGCGTTGTTACGTATAGTTTACGTATCTGTAACTGAACTAATTATTTTTCCCTTTTTACTTAAAAAAAACTGCGTTTAGTAGCTGGTATTTTTCTACGAATCTAAACAGAAAAAGATTGTTTAAAAGTGTTTATAAGCCGAGACAATTTTTAAAATTGTTTATTATGCCATTTGTTAAATAGGAAACATGAAGTTTTGAAATTGACAGGGTAGCTGGTTGCAGCCTTCAACTTTATAATTTATTTATTCAAACTAATTTTCAGAACGTTACTTTCAATATTGTACAATTCAAATGGTTGTAAATTACACTTTCCACGAGTCATTGAGACCCACGAAAATTTTTTCCTTAATTTTATATAGAACACCTCTTTTAAACTTGATTGCACGTTTCAAACAAAATTTTTTATCAAGTCTTGTGAATACTTAACGATAAAATTGGTAAAAAATTATAAACATATAGTGTGGTTCAGTCAAGAAAAAATTTTGTTTGAACAAATCACTCAATTATTTATAACAACATTGCCATTTGAAATGAATCTACTTAATGCTTGTTAACTGTTTTCCGATTTAAATTCAAAACCTCTCAGTCTTTTGAGAAATTAATTATNAATACGTAAATAAAAATACGAAAATGTTAAAAATCTTAATTAACCGGAGTTAATATCTAATATCAGAGGTATGGGATAAAAGGTCAGGGCACAAGGTTAAATGAATACTTACAGAAGAGAGTATCAACTTTTCAGCTCTATTTATTTAATACAATACAAAACCATACGGCCTCTCTACAGTGCCACTCTGTAGCTTTGGTATTCTGATTGTTTATGATAATTTTTATTGGAGGTATGGGATGAATGGACAGAACACAAGGTTAAATGAATACTTACAGAAGAGAGTATTAACTCTTTAACTCTATTTATTTAATACAATATAAAACCACACAACCACTCTACAGTGCCACTCTGTAGGTTTGGTATTTTGATTTAGAACGACGTAACAGTATCAGCGGTATCACGGGTGCTTTAGAACAGACTCAGCTGAGCTGCGCGTCTCGCCGCGAGCCCGCGCGACTGCTGCCCGCAACGGCTGAGGGAGAGGGGAAGGGGGGAACCATCTGAGAAGTACTGGCAGCGTTGATGGCAAAGCTATTTAGCTTGACAATTTTTCTAAAAAGTAATTTTTTTGACATAAATAATCAATATTTTACATCAAAAAAATTTATAATTGTAGATAACTAATTTCTCCAGAGACACAGGTTTTAGATCAGAATCGAAAAAAATAATTGAGCGAGTTGTTCAAAAAAAATTTTTTTTTTATTTAGCTACACTATATAACTATAGTTAATTAACAATGTTATCGTTGAGTATTAAGAAGACTTAAAAAAATGTTTTATTTGATAAATGCAGTCTCGTGTAAAAGGGGTGTCATATACAACTTCAATTCTTTTTCGATCAAGCAGCTTTAAATTCGATTGACGAAAAAAAATGCTGTATCTCAATCAATTTTCATCCAATTTTAATCATTTTTTTTTTGGTAGAGGTGGAACGACGATCTATTAACAAGTAACGTATGAACATTGTTACCAATTTGTTTATCAATTTGTTGTAAATCATTTATGAAAAAAAAAATTTTCATTGGCATTTTTTGTGGAAAAAATTTGATATATTTATGAAATAGTTTCTTGGTGAACAGAAAATATTTTTTGTAATTTTAGTACTGAGCTGATGTCATAATATGGATGAACACAGTATGAATACACACAGACTGTCTGATAAAAATGTAAAAAACGTTATGAAATTGCATAGGAATTGTACAAAGTAATTGTTAGTGGCACAGATAGTGGTCGTATTAGTCATTTGTTACATTTTAAAATCTCCCACCTCGCTCTTAAGAACTCCATTTTAAGGAGTAGAGACGATGATAAAAGTAAAGGGGACGCTGAGTGAGCACATTTTAGCGGGATAGAAGTCATTCCTCGTCAGTAACGACGTACACAACTGTTAATAGATCGTCGTCCCACCCCTACAAAGAAAAAAATAATTAAAACTGGACGGAAATTGACCGAGATACAGAATTTTTTTTCGTCAATCGAATTTGAAGTTGTTCGATAAGAAAAGAGTTAAGGGGAAAATTTTAATGGGTCTCAACGACTCTTGAAAAGTGTGACTTATACATATTTGAATTGGACAATGTTGAAAGTAACATTCTGAAAATCAGTTTGAGAAATTATAAAGTTGAAGGCTGTAACCAGCTACCTTGTCAGTTTCAAAACTTTATGATTCCTATTTAACAAATGGCATAATAAACAATTTAAAAAATTATCTCGGCTTATAAACATTTTAAAACAATCTTTTTTTTTTTAAATTCGTAGAAAATACCAGCTTCTAAACGCAGTTCTTTTGAAGTAAAAAGGGAAAAATAATTAGTCCAGTGATAGATACGTAAACTAGACGTAACAACGCAAAAAAATTCTGTAAAAAATTCACTTTTTACAGCTGAAACATGAGATTAAAATCTCTCAACAAGTAGTTTACCGTTTTTCTGGATAATAACACATGGGTCAGATTAATGTAAACATTTGAGGCCTTTTTTATAAACAAATACATTTTTTTTAACAACTTGAAATTTTTTTTTGAAAAAACTACAGAGGTTATATGACAATAAAGTACATATCCACACTAAGTGTCGAGACTGTAGGATCATTACTTATAAAATTGAAGATTAATCAAATTCTTGACTTTTTCGGCACTGTATTTTCATTATTGACAACAAATACTGACCAATTCTGACATTTCTGGTCGCAAGTTAACTGGTTGAGTATCGCCTACTTAACAAAAATTTTTATTTTTATATATTGTTGATAGGCTATTGGTTTT